AATATGGAAATGACTGTGGAAACAACTACAGTGAATTCCATCTCAAGAACAAGCCTCGCTGCTCTGGCCGTTCCAACAATCACATCTGGTCATTCCAACAGCAATGTGGCGAAGAGAACGCGGTATGACCCAGCTGAGTCCAGAATGTCGAAGGTGTGGCTGGCTATACGAGGAGAGAGATGCGCCATCTGTGGGGCTCCTGGCCCAAATCCGGAAGATGGTGGACGTGGTGGCTCTTTTTTTCCACCACCGGTAGGAACAGTCAGGGCGATGAAAGATGGATTGTGACGGGTTTTCTCCCAGAAGATCGATCGGACGAGCGACAAGGGATGGGGTTATGTTGCACAGGGAAGCAGGGGAATCCTCATGCGGAACATCTGGACAGCCAGAAACCCAAAAAAAAAAAAAATTGGGAACGAGGAAACGTCAGATCAACAGGATGGTACTCTTATGAAATGCGAATTGAGAAATCAAATAAGGGCGGATTGGAGGCGCAGAGTAGGAAGGAAGCAGGACCCCAAAGGCCGCGAGAATGGATGGAGCAGACCTGGGCCCAGAAAGAGAAGATGGTTTCAATCACAAAGCGAAGGCCACCTCTCAATGGTACCTTGGTTACTGCAAAACCGGGTCTGTAGTTGAAGGCAACAGTTTCAGATGGAGTAGGAACTAGAAAATAGGGTGACCTAAAAAAAAAAAAAAAAAAAAAAAAAAAAGAAGAAGAAGAAGAAGAAGAAGAAAGCAGGATAACCTTTTCCAAAAACCAGGTGCACTTGGTTCTGGTCGGCGGCAACTTTAGACCGCAAAGGTTGGGAGGGTAGGAGAGTGCCAAGCTAGATTGAATGGAACTTGGTTCCTCTCGGCCGTATATTAGGCCGAGTCTCAGACCATGCTAGGTTTGTGAACTACCGTCTTCCCCCGAACATAACGCACCCTCAAAATGAATGTATACAAGCTATATTTCCGCCCAGATACAGCCAAAACGAGGGTGCGTTGTGTTCGGGGGAAGACGGTAGTGTTAGAGAGAGTTTTTTCTAGGAATAGCAGAGTGCTCAGTTAAATAGTTAAAGGAGGAATTGAAGGGTGTGGTACTCGAAGCTAGACCGGCTGATGCTGCCGGGATAACTTCTGGTTGAATTGTGAGGTCCTTGGCCTCTATCAAATAAAATATTCTTTGCATTCGAATTGAATGTGTTTTTGTTATTAAAAAAAAAAAAAAAAAATCCCTGATCGAACAGTATCCTCCGTAAATTAGCCTGCCGGCTTTTCGTTGACCAGATCTGACCAAATGTCATGCAGGGGTTCGTCAGAGCGTCAGATCACCGCCCTCTCCAGCATCCATCATCATGCACTAATGCATGGAAAGTGCTTACGAAATGTACGTATCGGACCGCAAACCCATCCAAATACGTTTACGATGAACACCCAGCCCTCAGTCTCTACACTGCAGCTCTTGTCGAGCCTCAGGCTCGGCGCTTGAGCACGTCACAGAAGGAGGACCGGAGGAAGATTCCGCGAAGTATCCCCCAGAGTTGAACTCTTTGCGCAATCTTTTCTTCTCTTCTCTATATTTTTTTCGTTCTTCTTTTTTTCCCTCAGCATCCATATCCGCTTTTTATTGATTTTTTTTTTTGGTATGGCCGTGGGATCGGGACTATTTGAAATAAGGATGGGGTGCGGGAGCCCCCAAAGGGGAGGGAGGGGAGGGAAGGGGAAGGGGTTAACCAAATCAGTCAAACCAAGCGAGCATTCGACAGATGTGATGGTTGGGGTTTCTGGTTCCTTTTCTACGGCAAAGAAGAAAAAAAAGAAGGAAAATTCAAAATTCGTGTACCACATTTTCTTTTTAATCGTCCTTTTCCATGCTGAAGAAAGAGCACGTCACAAACAAAATAAAATGACGAGGAAAAAGGCAGAAAGAAAGAGAAGAAAAAAAGAGGCAACAACAAATTCAATCTCTTTTTTCTCATTCAATCTCTTTTTCTCTCTCCAAGTGACCCAATTCACGACTGAGAATTTCCCTCCCCGTCCTTGCCATCGGCATCCATCCTTGTCCATGTCGAAGAAAGAGCAGGTCAAAGAAAAAGAAAAAAAAACAGAATAAAACGACGAGGAGAAAGGCAGAAAGCAAGAAAAGAAAGAAAGAGGTAACAACAAATTCATTTCTTTTTTTTGTCTCCATCTGACCGAATTCGCGAGGGAAATTCATCCCCCCCCCCCCTCCTTGCCAGTGGCGCAGTACCCTTGGCACTGCCCATTACGCGCCACGAGGGTACTCCAAATTGCGAAATTGGTCCCCATGAAAATAACCAGCCAAATCAAAATTCCGTTCGTTTTTAACGTAGGTCGGTGTTGGGAGAAGTGGCAAGAGCGGGGGGGGGGGGCGGGAATACCCGCCGAAGGTAAATCAATCAATCAAGGGTTAGGGGATAACCCATCAAATCAAATTTTCCGTTTTCAAATGGGACCGAAGTGTGGAAGAAGCGCGCAAGGGCGGGAAAAATAAATACCCGTGGAAGAAGCGCGCAAGGGCGGGAAAAATAAATACCCGTCAATCAATCAAGGTTTAGGAAAGTCGCCCATCCATTTCGTTTACCAAATGGAGCCGTGCGCGGGAGAGCAGCAAGGGCGGGAAAAATACACATCTCCATCGCTCAAGGGTTAGGAAAAACTGACCCATACATTTCATTTTTCAAATGAACCAGTGCGTGGGAGACACAGACCACGGCGGGAAAAAAAAAAAAAAAATCTTCAATAAATCAAGGGTATAGAAAGTAACCCCTCCATCTCCGTTTTCCAATGAACCAGTGCGCAAAAAGAAGGGTAAAGACGGAAAAAACACCCGTCAATCAATCACGGGTCAAGGTAAAACAACATCCATTTCGATTTTCAGTGAACCCGTGCGCGGGAGACAGGAAATGGCGGGGAAAAAATTATCGATCGAACATCCATTTCGGTTTTCAGTGAGCCCGTGCGCGGGAGACAGGAAATGGCGGGAAAAACATTACCGTCGATCGATCAAGAGTTCAGGCAATAACCCATCCATTTCGTTTCTCAAATGGACGAGTGCGCGGGAGACAAGAGAGGACAGGGAAAATTCCCGCGAATCGGTCAAGAGCAGGGGAAATAACCCATCCATTTCGTTTTTCAACTGGACCAGTGCGCGGGAGACAGGCGGGGGCGGGAAAAATACCCGTCATTCAATCAAGGATTGGAAAAATAACCCATCCATTTAGCGTTTCAGTGAACCCGTGCGCGGGAGACAGGAAATGGCGGGAAAAAAATTACCGTCGATCGATCAAGAGTCAAGGCAATAACCCATCCATTTCGTTTACCAAATGGACGAGTGCGCGGGAGACAAGAGAGGGCGGGAAAAATTCCCGCGAATCGGTCAAGAGCAGAGGAAATAACCCATCCATTTCATTTTTCAAATGGGACCAGTGCGCGGGAGACGGGAGGGGGCGGGAAAAATACCCGTCATTCAATCAAGGGTTGGAAAAATAACCCATCCATTTAGCGTTTCAAATGGAAGACCAGTTCGCAGGAGACGGGAAAAGGCGGGAAAATTACCCCTTCCCTTTCTTTTTTTGACCCCACACTATTCTGCATCTTTTAACAGTCGGGTCCCAACATTTGTCGATCACTCTCCCACTCACAAAAAGCGCCCATGATCCGTACTTCCCCTGCAGATCTGTGACGACAACGAAAAACTCAGCAAGATGGGACATGGGGAGCGAAGATCATGATCCCACGGATAACGTTATCCTTCACAAAGAGTAAACCTTATCCGCTCAAAAAAACGCGGTCATGATCCGTATTCCTCCTGCACACGAGTGACGACAACGAAAAACGCAGCACGATAGCGCATGGGAAGCGACGGTCATGATGCCATGGATCATGATGCCACGGATAACGTTACCCTTTTTTGCTAAAGAGTAACCTTATCCGCTCTTAAAAAGCGCCCACGCTCCGTGTGTGGGTAACCTTATCCGCTCATAAAAAGCGCCTTTGGGTGACGAAATATTTCTCTTGCAAACGAGTGACGAGTCTGACGACAACGAAAACCTCAGCACGATTGGGCATGGGAAGCTATGATCATCATGCCACGGATAACGTTGTCCTTTTGCCAGAGGATAAGCACGGTCCGATAGCGTTGTTAGTGAGTTGTTCCCTCCTCCACTTGCCCCGCCGGAGGACGGAAAGGGTATGGAAGAGACGGGAACACTGATCAGAAAATTCCGTTCCCGCCGTCCGCTCCTTTGCCTCTATCTGCTCCTCTCTCTCTCTCTCTCTCTCTCTCTCTCTCTCTCTCTCTCTCTCTCTCTCTCTCTCTCTCTCTCTCTCTCTCTCTCTCTCT